AATGTCAAGAATGCCTTTAACCTCAGCACTTGGATCTCTGTGAGTTTGAGGCCAGCCTGGTCTACAGAGTGAGTTCCAGAATAGCCAAGACTCCACAAAGAAACAAACAAAAAAGAAAAAAAATCCACAAATAAAGGGGGAAATAAACATATATTAATGCTAACCCTACATATATTAATATATAGGAGGAAAATATTTACTGATATGATAGGCTTACTAGTTCACCACTAGGTGGCTATTATTGTCAGATAATAGGTCTTGAATGATTTTCTGATGACCTGTTGAGGTGTGTGTGTGTGTGTCTGTCTGTCTATCTTTGGTTACTCTATAAAGTGTCTGAAGGAACGTCTTTTGACTTGTTACAAAGGAACATTTGGTTTTGTAGCATTAGATTCATGTGCTGAATTTAGTTGAGAACTCTACAATCTATCTGGAGGTAGAAATATGCTGATCAACAGCACTGAATAGATATTTGGTCAGAAGGATGTATTGTAACGCCTTCATTGCTACTGTCTAATAACTTTGGATTCCTATTGATCCTTGACAGTGTCAGATGTCACCTTATGCTTAAGTGATACGTGTGTTTCAGGATACCAGCCCACTGCTCTGTGTTTCTACGATGTGCTGATAACACTAGCACTTTCCATGCCATATTTAATGAATGAGAAATATGAAAACAATTGGAAACCTGTGGCAAGATTATGTTCAGATTGTTAACCCTTGACATTGGCCACTCATCTGACACAAAACTCTGATTGGTGGCTCTTATCTGGAGATGGTGTAATCTTAACTATGTTTTCGTGATTCATCGGCTTTGGCAGAGTCAGAGGGAAGACATTTAGGAAAGTGTATTTCAGAAATGATAAAAGTATTGTAGTTTTTTTGTTTTTTTAAAGGAATTTTACGAAGGATGAAAGACTTGGGAAGGTGCTATTTTGGTGCTGTAATTACACGCTGGGCTTTGTGTTTGGCAGGCATGTTCTCTGTTACTGAGTGCTCCATGCCTCAGTCATTTAACAAGACCATTGTTATCTACAGGGTTTCTGTATAAGAAATTCAGGAATTGTAAGAGGCCTTGCCCTTCATGAGTCTTCAGTTCCTTGAGTACTGGGTGGGATTTGTCAGTGTGTCTCATGTTAGAGGTGGCAGTGGGCTGTCTCTTCCCTTCGTTAGGAGGAGGCATCCACATTTCATTCCCACTGTCAATGCTGTGGACTAAAGGAGGAGGGGAGAACGATGCATGAACACAGAACATTGTTTGGTGTTGAAAAGTGCTTGGGTGTCTTGGGATATTTTGATTGCATTCTGACACTCTTGAGACTTGCCAATAAAGTTAAACCTTGAATCGGGGTTGGAGCCAGTGGCTAGTTGACAGGAATTGGCCATAGAGAAGCCAGCAATTCTGATAGAGAAGACACACAGACAGGAAAGGGTGGAGAATTGAAATTGGCACTTCCTTCTTGGTTCTGAGACAAGTGAAGACAGTTGTCCGTTGCAGTGTCTCCAACCACAGAGCAAGGCCAGCCAGCTGCTACTCAACCTCTCTGAGCTAACAGGTTCCCACTGCAGTCTTTGGCTCCAGAGTCTTACTGATAGACAGGGAAACAGAGACTTAATATTTGTTTATTTGGTTTTTTTTGAGACAGGGTTTCTCTGTAGCTTTAGAGGCTGTCCTGGAACTCGCTCAGTAGAGCAGGCTGACCTCTGACTCACAAATGATGGGGAGTGAAATACGATTCACTGGGACATAGGTCGAATGATGTTTATTCGGGGAGAAATCACTTACACCTGAAACAGATGACTGCCTCGGGTTCCCACTCCAAGGATACCACCCAAAGACTCTCCAAAAACCCAACCAGGAAGCAAGAGAGTGAGCTGGGATCCAGGACTCCAGGGCTAGCCTCTCCACAGGTCACGCTCCAATGGGTGTGGTCAGCTCAACAGGTGTGTGTGTGTGTGTGTGTGTGGGTGGGTGGGTGGATATCTATACTACAGTTTCCCTTTTAGTCTAAAGGAAAGATTTAGGCTTGATACAAAACTATACACAAAGACAGTAAATATCAAGGAGAAGGAAAAGTAAGAACATACACACCTGGCCTATTGCCAGTGAGGTAACGAGCAAATAGCAAGAACTACACCCAAGTGCTGGAACTAAAGGTATGTCCACCACTGTCTGGCCAGAGGCTTAATTTAAACTTGCATATTGCAGCTGTGGCGGGAGCTCACTGTGGGGCTGTGGGGCCCACAGACGATAATAAAAATATCAGTAGAATTGTGTGCAGCTGCTAAGCCTACAGAAAAACATCACATAGGATATTCTAACAGTCGCAGGGAATGTCTGCTATCAGCTTCCGTCACAGGCACACGCACGAGTCCATTTCATTGTTTTACTAAAGCACCAGGCAGCTACATTCATAAACAAAATCCACTCCACCTATCTTGCCTAACTTGCTGTTTTAAGTGCATACTAAACTCTCAGTAATGTTTGCTCGGTTAAATAAATAGGTCCCCAAGTTTAGGAACTTGACTAAGCGTCTTACTTCAAGGGAAGGCCATGGTGGCTTGTAGGACAGATCTTGATTGACTTGGTCTCAGAGTAAGCTGGATGCTTGCTGTAACCAAGAGGGCCATCACTTCACATTGAGGGTTATTATTAATTTTAGTTTTATTTTATGTGGGTGGGTATTTTGCATGCTTGTAGTCTGTACACCATCTGTGTGCAATGTCTTTGGAGGCCAGAAGAGGGTTCAGATTCCTGGGACTGGAGTTAACAGACAAATCCGAGCTACTTACTGTGTAGGTGCTGGGAATAGAACCTGTGTCCTCTGGAAAAGCAGCTAGTGCTCTTACCCTCTCTGAGGAAGATAGTAAAGGACTTAATTCGAGGCCTTTTACTTTTGGAATGATAAAGTCTTTTTTTCCCATGTGAGACAGAGTCGCACTATATAGGCAGGCTGGCCTCAAACTCACAGCGATCCACCTATCTGCCTCCCCATGCTGGGATTTGGGGTGTACACCACTGAACCTGGCTTAGAATGATAAAATTTTAAGCCTGTGTTCTTTTGGTGTCATAGGGTTACTCGAATGCCTGGGGTTTACTAATCATAGTAAGCTTCTCACAACCTTTTAGCTGCAGATCTTGATGGCATCTAATGTAGTTGATTTCTCTAGTTCAGATTCTGAGTCAGGATTTTTTTTTTTTTGTTTGTTTTTTGTTTTTTGTTTTTGGATATAGGATCTCTCTCTGTAGCCCTAGCTGTGATGTAGATCAGGCTGGCCTCAAACTTCCAGAGATCCATTTGCCTCTGCCTCCTGAGTGCTGATATTAAAGGTATGCACCACCACTTCTGAGCCATCTCTCTGGCCCCAAATGATGTTTCTTTTTTGGTATCAGAAGGCAAGCTCCCTTGAGATCTACATAGGTGTGTGTGTGTGTGTGCGCGCGCGCATGTGTGTGTGTGCACATGCCACAGTGTGCCTGGGGTTCTGTTCCCTGCACACAGTGATCTAGTGTGACTGTGCCTACAATCCTAGCACTTGAGGTGTAGGCTGGAGGATCTGATTTCAGGGTTGTCCTTGGCTATATAGTGAGTTCCAGGCTGATACGGGCTACGTGAAACTTGCCTCTATGATTCTCCTTAGATCCTAGGTATGCATATGTATTCAGCACTGGCATTTTATAGCGGGATAAACTGGTGGCTCTTTCAAAGGGTGCTCATGGAATTCCTATGGGGACCCTAGGTATGAATGAGTGCATTTGGCAAGGTTGTTTTGTTTTGTTTTTTTTTAATTTAGAAAAGATGTGTGTAAATGTCTATGTGTCTTTACACTTTTGAATGTAGGTGCCCATGTGGTCCAGAAGAGGGTGTCAGATCTCTTGCAGCTGGGGCAATGTTTATTTAGAATTCAGATTCTGAAGCTCCTCATTTAGCAGCAGGTGTATTTAACCATCTCTCCAGCCTAAGATGGTTATTAAAACAGAAGATCATTTGTTTTAATTCAAAGCAGTTGCTTTGTCCCTTCTAGTTTGCAGCTAAAGCCTGTGGCCTTAAGCATATAGGATTTAGCAAAAAAGATTCTGTTGTTGGGACTAGGTCTGTCATACTGCCATGGGTAAGGAGTCTTCTCCTTAAAGTATACTTTCTTATCATTGAGTCAATTTATTTATTTATTTACTTACTTACTTAGTTATGGTTTTCGGAGACGGGGTTTCTCTGTGGCTTTTGGAGGCTGTCCTAGACCTAGCGCTTGTAGGCCAGGCTGGCCTCACCCGAGTGCTGGGATTAAAGGCTTGTGCCACCACCGCCCATCGAGTTGGTTTATTTTAATAAATATCAATATTCTAGTTTTAATTAAGAGCAACTATTCAGAATCTTAATATAGTGAAGGCTTTCCTGTGTAATTAATGGTAAAGTTTTATTTTAATGGCAAACATCATGTCTTTTGAAATGTAATTGTTCATATATATAAGTATATTACTTTTCCAACATAGCACTCCATGTAATTATAGAAATTTCAAATCACCTTATTAGAAATAGAAGGTTCTTGCAAGCCTCTTGGCATCAATGAGCTGTTATTGATAACAGATTTTATGTGAATGAGTGTCTTGCTGGCATGTGTGTCTGCTGCATTTGTGAATAGGGCCTGTGGAAGCTGGAGGAGGGTGTCTGATCTCACGGAACTGAAGTTAACAGGTGACTTACCATGTGGGTGCTAGGACCTGATCATGGGTCTCCAGTAAAAACAGCAAGTGCTCTTAAACTCAGAGCCACCTCTCTAGTCCCCAGAGGCTAGGTCTTCATCCCACAGTCATTAGTTAACATGTGGGGAAATTGTCATCCATCCAGAACTTTTTGATCTGATGCCCCTGGGTTAGCACCTGTAGTTTCAGTAGACCCATGTATCCGGTACTTAAACTGCCTTGATTTCTCCCTTAAGTGGGCAAGGAGAAGGTCCCAGTGGAGGGTGGTGATGATGTCTGTGCTTTTCTGCTATTACAGTTACGCTAAGAAGGAATCGGATCTTAATGGAGCCCAGATGAAGCTTCGAGAGTATGAGGCAGCACTAAACTCTAAGGATGCAGCACTGGCTACTGCCCTGGGTGACAAAAAGAGTTTAGAGGGAGATTTGGAGGATCTGAAAGATCAGATTGCCCAGGTAAGATTCTGCCTCTGACCCATATTGAGTTGGTGAGTTAGCAGTCTTAAGCTATGGTCTACTTATTTATTATTATTATTTAAATGGACGCTATTTGTGTTCTTTGTTGACTTCCCCAAAGAGCAGTCTTGGTAGCTCTGCATGATGGCAGCAGAGCTACCTTTTCATCACTTCTGGTCTGGGTTCTGCAGACCTTTCTGCTCTCCTGGGTACACTCATCCTCTTTGCTTTCAGAGCCTGTTCCATTATTTATTGTACGGGAACATTGAAGCATGAAGGATTGAACTCCCTCTCTGTTGAGGACTACAGTTTGATAGGTGATCTGAGGTGATGTCTTGAGGTAGAACCAGCAAATGACCATGAGGTTAAAATGAGATGATTATGTTAATTGAAATATAGGAACTTTCATGCTTGATCTGATTCATATCTAAACCATTACAGATTGTCACCATATAATCTTTATCATTCTTTTTCCTCCTCATAAGCTGGAAGCATCCTTATCTGCCGCCAAAAAGCAGTTAGCAGACGAGACTTTACTTAAAGTGGATTTGGAGAATCGTTGTCAGAGTCTTACTGAGGACTTGGAGTTTCGTAAAAATATGTATGAAGAGGTAACTACTTATTTCTTTTTAAAGGAAACACACGGAGTGTGGTGGCTCTTATCTGTTAGGAATTTCAAAGTACTGTAGTGAGTTTCAGAGTAGCCTGAAAAAACAACCCAGGTTTGATCCCTGGAACCCATGTTGTGGAAGGGGAACCTACTCCTATAGACTGTCCTCTGACCTCTATGGGTGTCTGTCAAAATTGATTTATGTTTTGTTTTGCTTAGTCACAGCTGTCCCTGCTCTGCCATCATGAATTTGTCGTAATGTTAGTGGTGAAGAAACTAGATGTGTCTTCTGCATAATTAATTGGAAAATGGCAACAGCTACATGATTCAGTATTTTTGTATAGTGGGAAATATTGAATATTTGGTGTCTTTTTAAGACGATTTTGAAACACTACTTACTCTTCCTAGTCTTTTCCAACATTGAGGACACTGCCCAATAAACATGTTTAAGTCTTCATTACGAACAGTTGAGGAAAGGAAGAGGAAGGAAAAAAGAGTAAAGGAGGTTGAAAAGGATATGGCCTTAGCCTGGGCTCAGTTTTCCTCTCGCTAAGCTTTTCATCCTCAAAAAGCCCTGAGCTCCAGGAGGTCGGGAACAGAGCTGTGATTTCAACCCTGAGTTTCAGGGTTTTTTTCAAGTATATTTTTCTTTTTAGTGCTTAAGAGAACCATGAAAAAATACAAAGAAATTTGAGTTAGGACTAGGCATTGGGTGACAGAATCTGTACTTAACCTGTGAGGTCTTAGGTTCAATCCCCAGCACTATACAAAGATACACTAACAACTTTAATGGGTTATAGTGCCCCCTTGTGGCATATTTAATTATTCCTGCTCAAGACAAGTTAATAGTGAGAAGACAAAAATGGGCAATTTTTATTAGTGGGCTTTTATACCTAACCACAGATTCCCTATCCCAGGTTATTTGGACAGTTGGACAGTTTTTTTGAAACAGAGAAAGATAACAACTGAGTTAGTCAAGTGACATTAATAAAGACATTGTTACTAATAGTGTAACATCGGATTCTAAGAGAAGTCCATTCATGCAAACTATTACTGTATCTAAGAAAGTAGATCATTATACCCAGAGATGTTCTGCCTGAAAACTGAAGGCAACAGTGTAATCATGCCTGTTCAGAGACAGGATAGGAGGGGAGGTTAGTATGTAAAGCATCAGAGGACCCTGAGGTTTCTCAGACTGGTGCTAGTATGGCCCATGTAAGCGACTTGGTTTTATGTTTCTGTCCCTGCAGGAGATCAATGAGACGAGGAGGAAGCATGAAACACGTTTGGTGGAGGTGGATTCCGGGCGGCAGATTGAGTATGAGTACAAGCTGGCACAGGCTCTGCATGAGATGAGGGAGCAGCACGATGCTCAAGTGAGGCTGTACAAGGAAGAGCTGGAGCAGACCTACCATGCCAAGGTGAGCGCTAGCTGGGGCTTGTTTGCACACTTGCCAGCACCCCAGTCATCATGAAGAACGAGGCTGTTTTGATCTAGTTTTTTTTTCCTTTTTCTTTAAAGATTCATTTAAGAGTGTGTGTGTTTTGTCAGCATACCAGAATAGGGCATTGGATTCCATGGAACTACAATCATAGACAGTTGTGAACCACCATGTGGGTGCTGGAAATTGAACCTGGGTCCTGAAGAGCAGCCAAAACTATTTAGCTGCTGAGCTATCTCTCCAGCCCCAGGAATCATTTTTGAAAACCAGAACAAGGGCCTGGAGAGATGGCTCAGCAGTTCTGAGCCCTGGCTGCTCTTCCAGGGTTATTTATTTAATTCCCAGCATCCCCAGGGCAGCTCACAGTCATCTGTAACTGTAATCCATTGTATCTATTGTTCTTGCTCATCTTCAGTGTGGTATACAAACACACATGTAAACAAAACATACACATGAAATAGTGAAAGAATATAAAAGAAATTTTAAATAATTGGAAAAAAAAGAAATGATTCTCTTATTCTTTAGGAATAAACATAATGAATATATTCTCATATAGACTAAACACTAAGATATAGATGAAAATGAGGTTATCTACTATTACTAGAAGTAAGGTTTATGTTTATGTCAGTGGCCACTCATGTCATATCAGAGTAGTTAAGCCCAAAGTGGCTTAAATACTTTCCAGGCCAAGTCCTGGTGCCTTTCTGCATGCTGCTACTACTTCTGATGTCCCCATTGCCAGTGTGTGTGGCTATGTCACTCCCTTTGGGTTGTTGTTTTATAGAAAAGACAATGGAAAACTTCATTTCAGAATTGTGGAAACATCCCACTTTCACGAACAGATCATATGATATATCTTTGTTTTGCAAATGACTTTTCTCATGTTAAATGTTATATGACTAAATTAAAAAATATTAGAGGCAGAGTTAAAGAATTGATGGAGTCATTTAAAATAATTTCCATTGCTTGGCCTCATACTGTTTATGCTGAGTGTTAGTTACTTAATGAAGCAGTAATGGGCATTGCATATAAGCAACCTCAGAAAGAGTCCCTCCAGCCACCCAGCCCCTGCTGAGTGCTGGCAGTGAGCTAGAAGGGAAGGAGTGAAGTAATCCCCAGACTGGATTAGAGAAGTTTGGGAAGCAAGGTAGAAAGAAACAAACACTCTCTCACTCTCTATAAAATAGGTGCGAGCAGCAAGTGTGCGTAAACGCACACATGTACGCAAGCACGCAAAACAGTTGTGGCATTTGGAGATGTAGTCATTGTTCTGAGATTCACTTTGCTTCTGAAAGGAAGAGTATCTGGTTATAAAGTCTATTTTGTATTAGATGTGTTGTATTTGTGTCAACTATAGTCAAAGTTTTTGCTGTTTCTTTGTTAGTACTACCCTAGATAGTAAATATTTAGTAGATGGAATACTGGAAAAATAAGCTAAGTTACTGACCCAAATGCATTGAAATTGTGTAAATTTATACTTTTAGAAGTGAGTCCGAGAACACAGGTGTGTGATGATGTACGTCACAGACCGGTCATGATTTTCCTGTGTTTCGTCAGCCAGGAAATGTCTTGGTGACTCATCTTCCTCATTTGTCAGTTCTAACTTACTGGGTAAGACTGACTGGGTTCCCGTTCTTACAGCTTGAGAATGCCCGACTGTCCTCAGAGATGAACACTTCTACTGTCAACAGTGCCCGGGAGGAGCTGATGGAGAGCCGCATGCGGATAGAGAGCCTCTCTTCCCAGCTCTCTAACCTGCAGAAAGAGGTAGGTGGGCGCCTGCCTTTGAGCAGACTTGGAGTTACTCTGGAAGGCTGGCTGACTGCCTGTGCCATCGCTATCTGCGTGCTACCTACCTGTGCTACTCCTCCGTCTTTGTCACAGATGAAACATTGCCTCCTGTCCTCTTTTTTTTTTTGTATCTAAATAATCCAGTAGCTTTTGGTGATGCGTACCAGTAACCGAGGGGCAGAGGTAAGGGTTGCTGCAAATTCAAGGCCAACCTGGGCTATGAAATGAATTCCTGGCCAGCCTGAGCTACATAGTGAGATCTGTCTTAAAATCCCCCCCCCCCAAAGTCCACCTGAGTAATTAATAACTTATTCCTAACTTGTAAGGAGGTTATGTGGAGACCTACTGATCACCCGCTGGACAGCGCTGGCATGCTCAATGCCATCTTTGCCATGCTTATTCTTTCCCATCACACTTGCAAACCAGAATGAAGAAAAACAAAACATGGTGGGTGCAAATGCCTTCTTTCTCCTTGCAGTTGAAATTACTCATTAAAACTCACTGGCCTCCCCAACTTTCCCGTATACCTCAGTGACAAGTGACTACATTTCTCCTTGTTGACTGGCTGCCTGCTGTGATGGCATGGCTCTAGGTCAAGTGAAGTGGGCTTGGATGTGGGTGGCTTCCAGTCAGGTTTACTGTGGGGTGATGTTGGATAAAGTGACTCGTGGAATCACACACCGATTGGGCATTGCCTCTCTTTAATGGTGTGGGGAGTAACTCCTACCTTTATTTTCCTGAGGGGAGAAACTTGTCTAAACTTTATGCTATTTTATTGAGCAGCCCCCCCCCCACACCTTTTGCCCCCCCCCCCCAAATTCTGTAGGTATAAAAGCATTTATTGTGGGCTTTAGAAAGCAAATGAGTCACATAAAATAATGTAATAAAACAGTTAACAGAGTTTTACATTGCTACCTTGTATATTTTATTACTTGTGTCATAACACTTTAAGTTATTTTAGAATTAGTTTGTTCTGCTAGTATTTTGAACTTTTCATCTAATAATGGACTGTTCACTTGACCAAACCACAGACCTAAGTGAGTTTAATGATGCCTGGAGATTTCAGGGTAACGAAGGGGTTTCTCTTCCTTCCCAGTGTTCCCTTAATTTGCTCTGTTGCACCATCTATCTCTTAGTCCTGTTGGGCTGCTATAACAAAACATGCACGTGTGTGCACATACATACTCTCCTAACTCAGGTCCTCAGGATTGCTTGCCATGTACTTCACTGACTGAACTAGCTGCACAGACTCATGTTCAGGATCAGGAAGGCTAAGGCCAGGGAGGACTGAATGGTGAGATCAATTCTTCCTTATCCTTTGATTGACCGTCTAGTGTCTTCCTGTGTGTGGGAAAGGCAAATAACTCACTACTGAGAGCCTATTTTATGAAAATACGACTTCTAGTTGAGAGAGGTCAATGGAAAGATCTTTTCTCTTAGTACTGCCATGTTGGAGAGTAGTATTTTTTCAACACATAAATTTTTGGGGGAACATTAACTGGAATGCTTCTGGAAATGGACCGACCATTGTGTTCCTACAGTGAGTCGATACCAGCCACTCTCTCCGTTAGATCTTTATTTTACAGCTGAGGAGGCAAAGACTGTAGTTAAATAGCGGTAGATTTGGGGAGTGTAGATCAGGTCTAGGTCTTGACCAGGTTCAGTCTTTTCCTTGTTTTTCTTATGTTGCTACTTCCTATAAGTGCTTTCAGGTTAGTGGATTTTAAATTGGCATTCTTGGGGTTTCTAGGAGCCTGCTGCCTTAGTAGATGGGAGATAAGCAAGCCCCTGCTTCATCTAGATTGAGTTTTTAGTTTGTCAGGACAGAGGGAATCTTTTCCTCCATCACTGATAGAAGGCTTTATATTGAGGAATAAATGGACACACATACACATGCTTGTTTCATCCCTCTTTGTAGTGTAGTCCTTGAGCTTGCTGTATAACCTGGGCAGGCCTAAGACTTGCTGCATCTTCTTACCTCACATTCTCAAGTATTAGGATTGCCGGTGAGTGTTTTCATTCTTAGAAATGAGGGAAAAAGATGTTTAATACTCTTCTATGGTGTTTCTGGGTGTCGTTGAGTCATTCATGGTGGTTTTGTTGTGCTGCTGTTTGGCCATAAGCAAACCTGTGAATGTGACCCGTGGCTCCTGACCTTCTGAAATTTAAGGTTGAAGCAGCCTTTCAAGAAATACTTTTATAAGTTTAAGTATACAGATGATAGCAATGTTGTTTTGGCTTTAGGAATTGCATGCAGTTCTGTGTTTGGTTCTAGTCTGCCTGACTTACAAGAGTCTACAGTGACATCCCAGAAGCACCCACCCATGGTTTGGTTTTCTAACTTTCAGTCTCTGGGAACTGTGACTGTGTTTATATCATAAATGAATCCTTGTCACTGTGTTATGAATTATAAATAAGACCAGGGGCTAACACAATGGCTTAGTGGTGGTTAAGAACACTTAGTGATTCCTTTGAGGATCTAGGTTTGGTTTCCAGCACCCACGGGACAGTTCAAAACAGTCTATCTCCAGCCCGGGGGTCTGCCAGTCCCTTGTTGGCTTTGTGGGAACCTGGCACTCACATCACATGGTACACATACACGAATGCAGGCAAAGCACTCAGATCCATAAAAATTAATCAAGTTAAAAAAAAAAAAAATCTTAGGTCACCCAATGTGAGGCATTAAAGTTGTAGTGTCGAGGCAGGACCTGGAGGTAAGCTGTGTTTGTAGTGTGTGTGCTGGCTTAGGCTAGCTGCAGCTGTCCAGGAGTGGATGGCAGGTCTGGGAGCCTCTATCTGGATCTGACCTCTCTGATTCTTTCATGTCTACCCAGATATAACCAGATATTTAATGTAAAACTTAAACATTTCCATTTAAAAGAATGAAACAACTCATAATGGCTTAAAAATTGTTGTATACCTAGGTTGATGTTTCCCTGTTAATTCTGTAATATCAAAAGCAGTATACCATAGAGATATTGTTTCAGTTCTAACTTGTTGATTTTCCTTCGCATTTATTATGTGCATGTATGTTGGCGTGTGCACTGTGGGATGACTTGTGGGAGTTGAGTGTGGTCTACTCCTTCCATGTGGATTCTGGGGATTGAACTTAGGTTTAGGTTGCTGGGTTTCGTGGTGTGCACTTTCTACCCACTGGGCCATTTCACAGGCCTGGATGTCCTTTAGTGTTTGTTTTATGGCTCATTCTGTCCTCACTGTCCACATGTGACAGAAAGTGAAGAGACTGAAGACCAGGTATTTTGAGTTTATCTTGTTTAGAAAGGAAATAGAAGTCAGTGAGGTGTGGGCAGGGAGTGGGTACCTCAGCATGGTCTGTAAGTGCAGTTGAGTGGTGGTGTCGGAGGCCTTTGTAGAGTCTCCCTCCCCTTGCTGTGCCCTTGTGGAGGTCAGAGGCTACTTTCTGGAATTGGTTGGCCCCTTTCACCACGTGGGTTCTGGTCATGGAACTCTGGTTGCCAGGCTTGGTGACAAGTGCTTTTACCGGCTGAGCTGTCTTACTGGCCCAGTACTGGTCAAATGTTAGATTCAGTGTAAAGTAGGAATAGGATAGTCCTCTGTCTTAGCTGGTTTGCCTGTGTTAGCATCTTGTGTTACCATGCGATACTGGTCAGACGCAGAACTGGCAGCAGCGTACGGCTGATAACTAGACTGCAGGCTGGTTGGGTTCTGCCATTGTTCCCCTTGCTGTCCTCTTTCTGTTGCAGGCACCACATACTTCCCACTTTCCCTGCTCTGACAGTTCTGTAGGGCATTCTTGTCTTTTCATGACCTTGAGTTTGAGGAGGATGGGCCTGGTGTTCCACTAGATACTCTTCAGTCTGGGTTTGCCTGGTGCTTGTCACAGGACTGGCCTGCTGTGGGCTTTCCCAGTGCCTGCTTTTATCACCTCCTGTTAAGGGCCATGTCACTAGGAATGTGTGATTATAGTAGTGTTTGCCAGGTTTCATTTACTGTTGAGAATCAGTGGTCTCTTTCATTTCCTGCTGTCTGGCCCACCCAGACAAGAATTAATAAACTCTGTGTCCTAAGGAGAGGGATCTATTACTCATTGAGCAGAACTGCTCTGTAAAGCTCTTAATCGAAAGCCGTCTTTCCAGCCAGGCAGGCACTGTTTTAGAGGTTTTGTTTCCTTGTGTTTCTGGGGATTGAATCCAGGGCCTATTCATTTAACACACACACACACACGCACACGCACACGCACACACACACCTCTACCTTGTAATGCAGGTTATTACAATCTCCCCTGCCCTCATCTAGGTCTTCTCATAGAATAGGCACGGGGTGTCGGTGTGTGCAGACATACATACACAGGGTGCTTTTTGTTTGGTACTGTAGCTCTACTTCTGGGTCATCTCATAAAATAGCTTGTGCATGCATGAACCTTCTCATAGAACAGGTTACATAACCCTTGTACACACATGTACATGCTAACAGCATAGCTATAATCTGTAACTCTTTTCCAGTCTCGTCATAAGGATTTATATTAAGTTCAGCAGAAATTCATGCACTTGTCTTAAATGTGATACTGCAGGGTTCTTTTTTGGCTTCTTTTCTCACCTATTTGTAACCCTGCATATGGGAAATTTGGTTTTTATCATCCCAGGAATAAATTATAGTCGGGCAGTATTTATCACAGTGTCTTTCTTCCAGATTTAAGTTTTTGCACAGTAGGTTCCTGTCTGCTGCTGATGTGGGTACTTGGGATTCTGAGGGCCTTGGCTTCCATCATTGTTTTGAGCTGACTGCCCTTGTCATTTCTGAGATGAATTCTGTCATGGAGAAACATGGGTAAATGATTACCCCGTGAGCTACAAGGTTTTGAAGATGAACTTCATGATGTAGGATGTGTGTGTGTGTGTGTGTGTGTGTGTTTTTTTTTTTTTTTTTTTTTTTTTTTTGGTTTTTTAACTATGCCAAACACAGCTTCTATATTTCTGGTAGCATTTTACACATCACCAAGTACCACATGTGCTTTGTAACCAAACACGATGGAGCTACGCCCAAAAAGATGTTGGTACTTTTTAAATGAGGACCTTTTGGGAAAGTCAGACTTGAAGACCCCACAGCTGGAGTAACATGCTCATTTGGCTAATACTGAAAACTCCAAAGTTTTACTTGAGAAATATTTCTTTTTAGGGTTTTTTTTTTTTTGGGGGGGGGGAGGTAAGAGCCTGTATTCTAAGGACTTAGGGTTTAATTTCTCTCAGCCAGGATCTTTTGCGCTCTGAGTTAGTGCTCCTACGAGGCTGTGTTTGCTCTAGTTCAGGAGATGGGTTAAAATAGCTGCCTTGTCCTCATGTTGAAATGGTCCTAGAAAGTGAATGTGCTTCTTTGACTCTGAAGTCTAGAGCCTGCTTGGAAAAGATTCAAGAATTGGAGGATATGCTGGCTAAAGAGAGAGACAACTCCCGCCGCATGCTGTCTGACAAAGAGCGAGAGATGGCGGAGATAAGGGACCAGATGCAGCAGCAGCTGAATGACTATGAACAGCTGCTTGACGTGAAGCTGGCCCTGGACATGGAGATCAGCGCCTACAGGAAACTCCTAGAAGGCGAGGAAGAACGGTAAGGCACTGAACCCGCAGGCCAGGCAAGCTGGGTTTGCTCACTCTTCCTCCCCACTTTCTCTTTTTCATCCAGTATTTTAGGGCTGCCCTAAGTTGAAACCCTGCTTTCTGTCTGTTAAGACATCTACAGATGGTTCATAGTGAAGAACAGCCCAGCTAGGATTTACTGTCCTGTGCTCAGAACTCAAGCATTCCAAAGTATCTCTAAGAAACTCAGAGGTGCTGGGAGAGGGGGCACATGCTTTTTAATCCCAGCACTCAGGAGGATCTCTGTGAGTTGAGGCCAACCTGGTCTACAGAGTGAGTTCCAGGGCTATACTTTGTCCTGGAAAACAACAAAAACAAAACCCAGTGTATTCTCCAACATGAATAACACAACCATTTCTTTCAGTGCATATTTCCAAATGTATAAAATGGAATGAAATTATGATATTAAATGCTCTCACTTTTAAGGAAAAGAAAACATTTTTAAAAAGGAAGAAAGCTACTTTGAGTTTTTTTGTCATCTAAGTAGAAATAGAATTTTTAAAAAGATTTATGTATCTATTATGTGTATAGTGTTCTTCCTGCATGTATGCCTGCATGCCAGAAGAGGGCATTAGATCTCATAGACAGTTGTGAGCCATCATCTGTTTGGTTGCTGGGAATTGAACTGGGGTCCTCTGGAAGAATAGCCAGTGCTCTTAACCTATGAGCCATCTCTCCAGCTCCTAGAAATGTATTGTTACTACTTTAAATATGGAGTGGGCTCTTTCATTGGAAATTTCAAGTGTTTTAGAAATGTTATAAGACTACCCCAGCATGTGTAAATGTTGCTTTGGACAAGACGTTTATTGGCATTGTCTGACTAAGTGAGTCAGGCATTTGTACTACATAAGCAGAGTTTACTCTCTCTCTGTAGGTTAAAGCTCTCTCCAAGTCCTTCTTCCCGAGTGACAGTGTCCAGAGCATCGTCCAGTCGCAGTGTCCGTACCACTCGAGGGAAGCGGAAGAGAGTTGACGTGGAAGAGTCTGAGGCGAGCAGTAGTGTTAGCATTTCCCACTCTGCCTCAGCCACCGGGAATGTGTGCATTGAAGAGATAGATGTTGATGGCAAGTTCATCCGCTTGAAGAACACTTCTGAACAGGTAATAGGATGGACCCATCTCCCCAGCCAGGCCTGCTTTGCATGCTGCTGGGCTACGGTGGTTAACAATAGCTGTCTACCATCTGTGTGCTTCAGTCTTCAGGCCTTTTGTGGCCTGCAGAGTTTCTTTGTTCTTTCTTAGGTTTTTTAATTGTAGTGCTAAGGATGGTGTCCATGTGTTAAAGCTGGGTGTGGAGGTCAGAGGAGTCATCTACCCTTTCTCCATGTGGGGTTCTAGATTTAACTCAGGCTATCAGCCTTGGTGGCAACCACCATTATCCATTAAACCGTCTTCTTAGCCTAAGATTTTCTTTGTGAATCTTGCTTTATAAAGCTCTGCTTGACCTTTGACCTAGACTTGGCCGTTTCATGGTGGCCTTCCTAAAAATGAATTAGAAGTTTTGTAGCTAGATTGGTGAAGTTTGCAATTATTAATAAAATCTTTATGGAAGGATGTGAGTGCAGGCTCGGGTATGTTGAAGGAACTTTTTTTCTTCCCAAAGTTAACGAAGGAACAAATGCTCACGATCTGATTTATATAGAAATAGCAATAACATTATTTTCTGTATTGGAATAGTTGATGTGAGCAGGACGTATCCACTGCAGGGACTTCTGAGGTGTAGAACTGGGACTTTAAAGAGCTCTGTGGTTCTGATGGAACTGGGAGGGTGTAGGGTAGCGCTAGAGGAAGCAAGAGTCTTGGGACACAGGGGAGAGAAAGTCATTTGAAACACAGGGTCTGCTAAAAATTGTGAGACCACTCCCTTCTCACCAGACCATTAGAACTGGTGTGCATGTTCACATGAAAGTCAGATAGCACTGGAGATTGGCTCTGGGGCTGCTTGGCCTCAACTTGGAAACAGAGTAGCACCCATTGCTCTATGCTAGTGTTTCCAGATTCCAGAGGCACAGCTGCTGGGAGTGTGCCCTAACCTCAGCCTGGAGGGAAGGGACCCTGATGGCTTTGCTGTCCTCAAGCCTACCCACTGGGCAGGGGTGGCTAGGGCTGACAGTACTCAACCAGGTCTGACTTCTTGCTCTTTAGCTTGCTTTTAAACTCTTAGTGACAGCTTAATTTGGGTGAAGCTTGGACAGATGCAGAAGACAAAAACAAAATTCCCTCATTGTTTAACCATGAATGTCTAATTGAAAATGGAAAGCTGTCAAGCATTTATGTTGTTTGTGGTTTTGGTGACCCCGTTGTGTTACAAATCATAGACCAGCTGGCTTAGCAGCGAACACCGCCCGCCCTTTGTTGTCTTTTCATGTCTCTCCCTGTTTTGTCCCCTTTAGAATTCAAACCCTTCCTGGTGGGGTGCGGTGATCATGAAGCTACTCTTTCAATGAGTTCCATGGGAAGGCCTTAGCTTCCGAGCCTTTATGGGTTCATGGATGTGATTGTTTCATAGTTTCCTGTATATGAGAAGTAACCTTGTTATATTGTGTTTTGTGACTAGGATCAACCAATGGGAGGCTGGGAGATGATCAGAAAAATTGGAGACACATCAGTCAGTTACAAATATACCTCAAGATACGTGCTGAAGGCAGGCCAGACTGTTACAGTAAGTGAACTCTGTCATCATTTAACTTCTTTATCTTAATCACAGATAAAACAGTTATCACCACAAACCAAAATGAGCAGCATTTTAGAAGTGTGTTTTAAACGTCTTTATGTTAGTGTTATTATCTGTGCTGTTAAAGATTTAACAATCCTGCCTTAAGAGTGGTGAGAAAAATTGGTGTTTAAATATCCTTTTTCTGTTTCAGTGGGCAAAACATAGTTCATACTTGTTTCTAATGCAGTTCTGGCTTCTATACGTTGTAAATTGTAGCAAGTTAATACCAGCATCAGCCTAAAACTGCAGCTGCCTAAATTTCCTAGGACAAACGATAACATGTGGATATCTTGGTTCCACCTTACCCTTAGTTGTTTCCAGGGTTGGATTGCTAATAAAGCCACCACATAGAGTTAGTTGCGCATGCCTGCACCTCTTCACTTGGGAGGTTGAGGCCATTGTGAGTTCAAAGCCACCTTGGCCTGCATAGTAGTAGCAAGACTTTGTTTCATGATATCCTTGGGCTGGAGAGATGGACCAGTTGAAAACACCTTCTGCAGCTGCAGCCAGGTGAAATCCCGGCATCCTGGGGAAGGGAGACTTATTTTCTTTTAACGATGTGACTCCTAATAGACTCATTATGCCCTAGTCCCAAGACTGGCTGGCAATAGGACTTGATGGGGAAAGAAGGAAAACAAGTAATCTCTAAATTAAATGGGAGGGCTAGGAGGGAGAGGGCCGTAGGGGAGGAGCTGGGGGTGGGGCATGAGCATGCTCAACATACTTCCATGTGAAAAATGTCAGAAATAACGGAAAGAAAAAAAGCCAGGTATGGTGGTTCATGCCTTTAACCCCCAACCTAGGGATGCAGAGGCAGGTATATCTCTTGAGTTTGAGGCTAGCCTGATCTATAGAGTTCCAAGATAGCCAGGGCTACATAGAAAAAAAACCTGGTCGTGAAAATCCAAAAACATCCACTGGCTTGCTCTTCCAGAGGACTAGTTTGAGTTCCTGCACCCATATCAGAAGGCTTAAACCACCTGTGAATGAATCCAGCTCCAGGGGACCCCACACCGCCCTCTTCTGGACACAGAAGGCACCTACACAAAAGTACAAATGCAAATAAAACGGGCCCCCTTCCCCCAAAGAGTCCTCCCAGGCAGGGATGGTATCCTGGTATTATTATTTAGAGTGCCAGGCTTTTGGGCATAGCATCGTCATAAGTTTATGGATTTTGACAGATGGGCTAAATGGCATTCTAATTCTTATTCCAACTTGGCTTTCTATCGATATGTTCTATCACACATTTTAAACAGTAATAGATTGAGTTTTAAAGAATAAATCATATAGCAAACAAAAGATTCCTCTGTTTTTACTTAGCAAGCAAATTATGAAACAGTAAAATCTGCTAACTTTATTGATTTGAGAGAATGGATGTTACTGCTCATTGTCTTTATGGACTCCTTAGAAAAAAATGGCAAGTGCTGCCGAGTGTGGTGAGCATACTTATAGTCCTAGACTTCAGAAACGGGGGTAGGGCTCTAAGGTGAGTCATAGCCGCACCGTGGGTTTGAGGTCAGCCTGGGCTATACGAGGTTCTGTCTCGAGAAAACAAAAAGGCACCTGTTACAGCACATTTGTCACCCCCCCCCCCCTTTCCCCTTGAGACAAGATCTCTGTAACCTTGGCTGTCCTGGACTTGCCCTGTAGACCAGGCTGGCCATGAGCTCAGTTTGCCTTTGCCTCCCAAATGCTGGGATTAAATGCTGACACCACCACGCCTAGCCTCCCCTCCCTCCTTGGCTGACTTTGAAGTGATCACAATTCTATCTTAGCCTCCCACATATTTATACTTTTGATCAGTACAAACCTTAATGTTTAAGATCAAAGGCTCACAATACAGGTTAGAACTTGTAAAGTGTAGAGAGCCTTGCCATCCCTCTGAAAATAGCAGGTGCTAATTTTGTAATAATGGGTGAAAATGAGAACAAATATCCTAACTACTCTATTCTTTAGTAATTATAGTGAGAGAAGATTGCTTAGTTCTATTACATGTCTTAGAGAAACTGCATAATGTGTTTAAAAGAATTTGGTACTTTAGTTCAGAAGGTTTAAATTTGAATATTCCCTGTCTCATAATGTGGAGCCATTATACCATGCCAATCATCTGGGTCTGCCCGAAGGTTGTGCTACTCCAGAGATTGTTCCTGTAGATGGTGTATAAAGAACTGTTACCACATGAGATAATGTGGAGCATCCCCCTCCCTCCCTCCCTTTAGTAGCTCACATTAACTGTGATCAGAGTTTTGGGACATAGTAGTGAGAGAGATTTTCCTGTGACATTGTAAAAGGCAAATGCAAGGATCAGTCTGAAGATTCAGAACAAGATGAAAACCCTATTCATGCTTTTAAAATTTTATTGTTACATAGTAAAAACTTACAAAGGTATAAGGTTACTTTTGAAGCTGTATTAAATCTATTTTGTTTAGAATATCATATCAAAACAGGACATGGTGGTACCCAACTTTAATCTCCGCATTAGGAAGGCAGAGGCAGAAGGATCTATGAGTTTTTTCAGGCCAGCATTGTCTACAGTGTGAGTTGTAGGACAGCCAGGGCCACACAGAAAAACCCTGTCTAAAAAAATAACCCCCCCCCCAAACAAAACAACACCTGTATTAATACAAATGTTATTAGTTAACTCTGCTAACTTTCCTCTGCGTTTCTGAGGTCTGGGATGCACAGTGTGTCTTTTAATTGATCACATCCCAGCACTTACACGTAAGCCTCACTGACATCTTATTGTTTACATTAAGCCAACTGTGTAATTATGTGTGGATTAGTGTGGCTACCTGTTTCCATTTTATTTATAAGATTAGGGCTGGTTATGTCTGCATCTGAGGACAGTGGGATCACATGATATACTTTGTCTAGGATTCATACCTACATTTTCTTTTGCCTTTTAAAAAGAATGTGTGTGTCTTTGTACTGTATAAGGTTGTGTGTATCACATGCATGCATGTACTCACAGGAGCCAACTCCAGATCCTCTGAAATTAGAGTTAGATATGGTCAGTGAGCAGCCCGTGTGGGTACTGGGGATTGAACCTGGGTTTTCTACAAGAGTGGTGCACACTTATCCACTGAGCTCTTTCTCTCTAGTCCTCTATACTTGGGTTTTTTGACTGCCAGTGTTTTCCATTCCACCTGTTTCCTGCCAAGAAATACTTAAAAAAAAAAAAAAAAAAAAAAATGGCAGAATTTCCACATTTCATTAGCAATCATGTTTTCCCGGAACATTTCCTGTACTCTGTGGAGGGTAATCTGAAATGTGCTGGGGCACTGTGACACTCTCTCCAATTGGCTGGACATGAGCCACTCTACCTGAATATTTTAAATAGACTGTCAGCTATGGAACATCACCTGTTGTTGAACTTGGAGGGGTTTGCACATGTGTGCATGCACAAATGTCTGTCTGTCTGTCCACCCGTCCACCTGTCTGTCTGGTGATCTATGAAGCCCATAGGACAGAGGTTATCAACCTGTGGATCGCAACCACTGGAAAACACATTTCTGGTTTTAGGAATTGAGACACCTCTTAGTAGCAAAATTCCAGTTAATGAAGTAGCAACTAAAATAATTTTTATAGTCGGGGTCACTACGGCATAAGGAACCGTATTAAAGGCTCACAGCTTTAGGAAGATTGCAGACCACTGCCATAGAGCATGATTGTTAATCATGCCATTGAGTGAGTGGGCGCCTTGGTATTTGTTGTCCCGTCAGCAGTGGTCCCACCTGTTAGAGTACCATTCATTGCTGCCCATTTTTGTTGAGGAAGACAGTAAGAAAACTTGTTCTGGGTCAGCTGTTTTGTGGACGGCTAGGCCAGAGTGTGGCAGTTTTATTTCGGGGCTCATGTTTATCCTGTGAGGATGCCAAGGCCTGCAGAAGCTCTGAGCTGTGGTGACCATGGGTAGGGTAGCTAGGCAGAGTTCACAACCCGTTAGAAGAAGAGTTGAAGTTTCGTCGTGTTGCTGAACTTGACGTATGTGACCGCTGGCCTCTGGGTGTGCTGATGTCCTTTCTCTCTTCTAGATATGGGCGGCAAATGCTGGAGTCACAGCCAGTCCTCCAACTGACCTCATCTGGAAGAACCAGAACTCTTGGGGCACTGGGGAAGATGTGAAGGTCATACTGAGAAACTCTCAGGGAGAGGTACGGCCACCTACCGCTGCCACTGTGGCATCCGTTTGACCAGCCTCGGTTGGTAGCAGAGCTCCCATTGAGTAGTGAAGTAGCTAAGGCTTCAGGTAGACCAAGGGGGCCAAGTGCCTGACACCGAGTAAATGGAAACTGCCACATGGTGATAGAGTGTTTCAGGGGGTGGGGGTGGGTTGGTTTATTAGCACAGGCTTTGAGTAATTTCACCTCTGAGTGTTCACATTTTATCAAAACAGCGTCTGTTATAGAATGCTTACCTGGTAAATACATGCTGTTAACCTTGTAAATGCTTACACTGTTAGCCTGGGAAACGTGTGTTGTCACCCTTACTGCACTAGTTCTCAGAGCTCTAGGTGAGACAGCAGTGCCCACCTTTGTGGTATTTTCGCTGTGAGCCCCAGGATTCTGGCCAGAGAACTGGAGCTGCCTTTGACCTTTCTTCTAAGGATTCGGTTCTGCATTCTGATGCTGCCGTTGGGTTAAGACAGACTGATGCTTGCACGGTGATTGTGTCTAGCTCCCCTGTCCTGACGCACTAATTCAAGTCCACACAGATCCTGTCTGAGAGCCATGTTTTGTTTACAAACATGTTCACTTTGATGGATATACCTCACGTGAAGCTGTCTCTGGGACACTGTCTTGGTGACACTGTCTTTTTGGTCTGTTGGATTCCGGATTAGCTTCTGCTGAAGTAATTCCAGTGTGGAGGTTTCTTGAGTGACCTTTGGACTTGGGGTGCTCAGAGCCCTCTCTAGGACACATTTCCTAGATGCTGGATCATCAGGTTAGCCTTATGCTTGAACAGCAGTGTTTGCCCAGTTGAGCATTCTGAGTCACCTGCACTAGAGTGGAAACAGATGCTTTCTGTTGCACCCTTATGAATGGTCAGAGCCCTTCTTCCTACAATACATCCGGACCTCAGTCCCTGTTACTAGTACTTGGTGCTAATTGTCCTGGAATAGAAGGTGCTTTCTTTGTCTCCACGGCTCCGGTGGTCCTGCTGTCACTCACCATGGTTCCTGGGTTAGAGCAGCTGGCCTCCAGCTTCTTTTATTCAGCATTTATTTAGCACCTTTCCTTTGCTCAGAGCTAAGATCTTTAAGCAGAATTCAGGTTAGTATGCCAAAGGCCTTGCAGAGAGTTTTCAGTAACAGAAAAGGATTTAAAAGAAAGCATTAGAAACTGCTCAGCAGGTATTATTTCAAATTGGATCCCAGTAGCTCCCCTCCAGGAAAAATTGAAGGTCTACTAATGGCTCCTAATTATGAAGAATTCACTAGCTAAAACTGCTGATGAAAAAGCTTTAGAAGTCCTTGCTATGGTAGTGGTGTTTCCTAAGCACAGGGAAGGGCTCTTTCCTGTGGCTTCTGACTTGAAGTTTGCTGTCCCGATTTCAGGAGGTTGCTCAGAGAAGTACAGTCTTTAAGACAACCATACCTGAAGAGGAGGAGGAGGAAGAGCCCATCGGAGTGGTTATTGAGGAGGAGCGTTTCCATCAGCAGGTATTACTTTGTTTTTATTTTTAGTAATAGAATTGCCTGAAAAGCCACTGTGTGGGTTTCCTTGCTATTCATGTCCCGAGCAGGAGCAGTCCACCCCCTGGGTGTGTGCTCAGCTAAGCTGTGCTCAAGGCAACACACTTGGGTGCAATTTTTTCCCCTCTGTCAATTTTTACTTTTGTTGTTCGCTTCCGGTGTAAATAATGTGTTGTGCCGGACATGTGTGTTCTTACAAATGCATACCTTAGAGAGTATGGCTTGACGCTTATTCATTGGATTCTGAAAACTTTGTGCTCCTGAGAGCAGCCTTCATGCATGGGTAACCGTGAAACAGAAAACAGAATCTAGAGCCACACTTAGTTTCATTGCTGTTATATTAAGTTGCCATTCATTAAGTAATTTGCTGATGCCTGGGCTTTGTAAAAAACTTTCAAATAAATTCCAAATTCACTTTTAACTAATTAAATTTGGGAAAAATATTTATAACTAATGAGCCTTCAATTTATATTCTCAAGCTGTTGAGTATGACCATTAATTGGTCTTTTGTTGTCTCTTTATCTCCATAATTGTAATTCAAGTTGCCCTTGTTTCTTAGTGTTCTGTTGCTGTGAAGAGACACCACGACCAAGGCAACTCTTAGGAAAGGAGAATTTAATTGGGAACTTGCTTAGAGTTTCAAAGTTGATCCCCATGGCGGGGAACATGGCAATATGCATGCAGCTGTAACAGTAGCTGATAGCAAACATCCTGATCTGTAAGGAGAGAGGGAGAGAGGCAGACAGGCACAGACAGACAGAATGGTTCTGGTGTAACCTTTGAAACACACACACACACACACACACACACACACACACGCACGCACACACACACACACACACACACACACACACACACCCCTCCTAATCCTTCTAATCCTTTTAAATAGCACCACTCCCTGGTGAGTAGGCATTCAGGCATACAGGCATACAGGCATACGAGTTTATGGGGGTGTTCTTACTCAGGCCACAGCTTGCTTCACTAGCCCTGCTGCCAGCAGACCTCACACGTGTAACCCACCTGTGTAACCTCCTGTGGTGGGAGTTCATTTAATCTGGATGCCTTGTCATTTTGCTGGCATAGTTAAGGGTAGTCTGTTCTCCTTGACTTTAATGAAAAACTAGCACAGGATCTATCGCCCACTGTCAGTGGGAACCTGACAGGGAGTCCTGCCAGGTCAGACACTGGAGAAGGCATTCCAGGCCTCTGGTGTCATTGTAAACAGCTGTGGGAAATGCTCCTTGGACAGTCTTTTGGAGGATAGGACATTATTTGGGTGTTAAAGAAAGGACAAATGACAATGTTTGAACTGTCAGGAAGAGACACCAGATTTGGGCTTAAAAACAGTTATTTCTGCTGCATGGTGGTGGTGCACACTTTTAATCCCAGCGTTCAGGAGGCTGAGGCAAGCAGATCTCTGTGAGTTTGAGGCCAGCCTGGTCTACAAAGTGAGTTCCAGGACAGCCATAACTGTAATAGAGAAACCCTGTCTCAAAAACAAACAAACAAAACTCCAGTTACACCTTAGTCCCAGTGATTTTGTGGTCCCACTAGCCTGGCTGGGGCTGGAAGGGTTCTGCCAGTGTGGTTCTTGTGACCCATTAGTTCAGGCCAAGCTGGCGAAGATGGTGACAAACGAACAGCAAGTCCAAGGCCTCCCAAAAGTTGGGCCCAGACCCCTTTCATTGTATTTTCTAGAAGTAAGCCAGGGCCAGCCAGCCAGCACTCAAGGGGAAGGGAGGTAGTCTTTTTCTCAGTGGAAGGAGGGACCAAGAGTTGTGGAGTGTTTTTGTCAATTTTGTGGTTCTGTGGGTCAGACCCGGGACCCAGGACACTCCTCGTGCTAGGGAAGTGCTCTCCCATTGAGATAGCCACCCCAGCTACTCATCTTGATGATGCTGAGGCCATCTGTTTGTCAGTCATACTGTTTGGGGAAGCCTAGTTAGGATCACATTGCCCAGGCCTGTCCCACGAAGTCTGCAGCAAAGGAGAAATGGAAGGCACACTAAGTTAGGGAATTGACTCTAGAGCCATCGAGGAGTAGGTACAATTCAGACTCATTAAGATTTATGTAGACTCAGAGAAGACAGAAGAAAGGAAAAAGTCCAAGGTGTTTGAGGTTTTGTGCTTGTGATCACAGGTGGTTGTAGAGTTCCAAAGAGGGAAAACAGTTAAAAAAAAATCCACAAGAGGGAAAACGCTTGGAGCTACCAAGCACAGTGAAGGTGATCCAATACCCTTGGGACTGATAAATAACCTTCAGTTTTAGTTTAATTAGCAGCAAGTCACAAGTCACACAAGGAGTGAGTTTTGCTAGGCAAGTGACACTGAGCAATACCTCAGCCAAACCTTTTCTTTGAATGTTTGAGTATTTTGCCTGCACCATACTGTGCAGTTCCTGAAGAGACCAGAAGAGGGCATATGATCCCCTGGAACTGGTTAGAGGGGGCCTCCAACTCAGCTGTATACGACAATTACTTTAAAATTGCAGAGCTAAATGAGAAATTCTTAATTGTTTACAGGCATAGATCAGCTTTTTGTTTTGTTTTTTGATTTTAAAACTCTGGTGCAGCGAGTATAGAGACTCAGTTGTGGGATTCGATGAAGTAAGCCCTTAATGCTAAGAGTGAGGCATGACAGGGCCCTTTTTAAAGTAGGTAATGCAGACTGTTAGTCTCTATTTGAAAGGGTTTATGTTTAGAACATCATGATATTGTTAGTTCTCACTTCCTACTGTTCCCCTCTCAGGGAGCCCCAAGAGCATCCAACAGAAGCTGCGCCATTATGTGAACTCGTCAAGACAGAAGCATGGTAACCCTGTATACAGTGCAGAGCCTTCTCAGAAGCACACGATATTTTTGTATTTCCTTTATGTGAATTTTTTAAGCTGCGAATCTGATGGCCTTAATTTCCTTTTTGACACTGAAAGTTTTGTAAAAGAAATCCTATCCATACACGTTGTTGCAAGATGTGAATTATTGACACTGAACTAACTGTACTGTTTGGAAAGGGGCCCTCAAGTTTTTGGCATTTTTTTCTTTGTATGTGTGTGTGTATTTCTTTTTTTTTTTTTTTTTTTTAAAGTTCTTTTAAGGAGGGGAGGGTAAGTATACCACTGTGTGTCCAGGCATCATTGGAAGATTGCTCTGTCTAGTTGGGCAGTCTGCTCTTGTTCTCTCTCTGCTATATATAAAATGGTGCTGTTCTGGGAGGGGGAAAGCAACTTTTTCAATATATTGAACTTTTGTATGGAATTTTTTTGTAATAAGTGATCAAGGTTACAAATTCTTTTTAAATAGAAAAGAGAAGAACATTTTTGTAAGAAGGCAATATTAATCTAGTCATCATGTAAGCACTCTGGATAGAGGGTCCACATGTCTGGATGTTCAGCCACTTCTCTTAAGTTCTTGATTCACGAGGGGGGTGGGGTGGGGCAGGCAGGGTTAGGGTGGGGGAGGGGATTCTCAAATGCTCTAGTTGTGTTTTTTAAGATAGTGTAACATGCTTAAATTTCTTATGCAACATTAACGAATAAAAAGCTGTTTACTATTGCTCTGCTGTCCTTTTTAACTCTTCAGATCTGTGGGTCTCCCCCCTTTGGGGGGATTGTCAAAAAGACCATTTCACCGGGCTTGTGCGTCAGATATTTGCATTATAATTCATAACAGTAGCAATATTACAGTTATAAAGTAGCAATGAAATTGTGTGGTTGGGTCACGATAACGTGAGGAACTGTATTAAAGGGTCACCCCGGCCTTAGGCCGGTTGAGAAGCACTGCTTTAGACAGACCTTGACCGGTACCAAAGTTTTAGTTTTGATTGGCTTGTGTGATACGTTCACAGTTGAGGAAGGTGATAGATTCAGAGTTCAGACACCTCAGTGCCCCCTGGTTGGTAATGGAATGGTCGACACTTACACTTAGCACACTCTCAGATTATCGCCAGTGGCTTTCAGACCTGACACAGGGTGGAAGGTGTTCATAGAGTCTGCTTCTACTCCTTTAACATAGGGGAGAGAACTCATTTAAGAACCCCCTCCTGGAAGAATAACTCAATAGCGGTGAATGGGGCCTGCTGGGGCAGGTGGCCCTTGTGGGTGGTGACACTGGTTGTGGACTTGAATTCTGTCCTGTGATTGCTTTAGCAGAGTCGGTTCATCTTGTAGGAGCTGAATGTCGGAAACCCTCCCTAGAACACATGGATGATATTTCAGAAGCTAACCCAAAGCCAGTGTTTGCTCTCGTCTTAAAATATTCCTGCAGTAAGCTGTGTAAAGACTACCAGCATTCACTTAGAAATAACTCACAAAGCCCCAAATTACTGTGTTCCACAGATTTACTGTGTATACCGCTGCTGTCGCAGACACAAGATAAATGCCGGGTCAGAAATTCTGTCTGCTGAAGCAGATGAAATGATAACTTCTCAACACAGATTTATCTTCTGAATGGCGATACGGGAGACAGCCAAACAGTCGTGAAATATTTTGTCACAAGATGGGGTTCTTGTCATCAAAGTGTGGCCTGGGTTCTTTATGCTATAAAAGCCAACACTTTAGGTAGGCGTTAAGGGAGAAAATGGCAGTTGTAATACAGGAGAATATTATATGATCTGGTGAAATTTATAATAAAGATCCAGATTCAATTAACCGAAGTAGTTTGGAGCTTCTGGCTGTTTTGAGGGGTCAGCCGCTCTGAGCCTGCCCTGTGGACTTGGGGTGCTGGGGACACTGCACCTCCGTCTCATTGGCGCAGGCCAGGCAGAGGGCACACTCGAACACGCTTTGAAATTACCTTCTTATAACAAGTGGGAATTCATTTTTCCCCTTGGTTTGTCTTCCATGCTGTGGTTTGACCTTCATGTTTAGCTTATTTTCATTCTTCTGACTTTGGTCTCATCTCATGGTCTTATTTGTTGGAAACCATGTCATCCTTGTTCCCTGTCCGCCCACCCCCAGGCTAGGATTTGAAGATGAATACTGAGCCTCTGCTTTCTTGCCTTTTAGATGTCTCTGTGCTTGGTGCTTGCCTCACTAATTCTGCTCTTACCCCTGTCCACCTTGGCATTCAGCCAAGCCATTGAGTTTGCCTTTGGTTCTCTTTTAAAGGGGGGGAGGAGGGTGGGAATGTGAGCAGGAGGGCAACCTTGGGCTTCATTCCCCTGTTGCTGCCAACCTTATTTTGAGATAGGATCTCTCCTTGAGACCAGCACGCCCCAGGGACCCTCCTTATTGAGTTCTTGGCGGCGTTGCTTATTTGTATGTTGTAGGTGCATTTGTTGACTTCCTAATAATAGGTGGTTTGCCTCTTGGTGTTTTAGGGTTCTGACTACTCCTCAGCAAGAGTGGCTGTTTTGTTAGAAGTCCTGGGATTTTGACAGTATTAGACCTGTACCATGTCACTGAACAAGCTTTAGCTGATCCTATGTTAATCAGTCTTAGAGTGGAAGGGAAGGCTTGCCCATGTCATTTAATTTATTGTCGTACACATATGTGTGGGTTTGCCTATGCCGTTTAATTTATTGTATACATATGTGTATAGGTGTGTGTGCATTTTTAAGGAGCAATCCTAAGTCATGTGCCCATTGACTTATACATCACCCTAACGTATACACCATCATTATGCTAAGGAAGTTTATTTGAATGTTCCTTTCCTTGGCCAACAATCATTTTAAAATGAGAAAGGATCTCACCCTGCACCTCTCATGAGGTTGCTGGCGCTTTGGAAGGCTGTGTGGAGGAGAGTGTCTGGTTCAATGTTGGAGTCCCTGAAGCAAGGGCTTGACATTTTTATGTATGACAAAACCTAGAATTCTGACTCTGGGGCTGTTCTGCTGACTGAAGCAACGGTACTGAGGGAGGTGTGATCTAGAATTCCGTTTCTTCTGTTTGGCTGCCTTTCAAGGGATAATCATCTTAGGTAAAATAGAAACAATGCATCACATTGCTGAAGGGTTGACGGTTCACTTTAATTGTTGTGCGGGGGAAGGATATCTAATAAACACGCGGGGGCGGGTGTTGTGGGAGTGGAGGCTGCTGGGCTGGGCTGGTTTGGAGGGTAGTACACCAGTTTGCCCTAGAGACCTGCATCAGCCCAGGGTGTGAAGTCCTCACTTCCTACCTCCTACTGTTCACTCCCACAATGGTGTTTTCTCTTTCACTTTCAACAGCTCAGTAAGTAAATGGTGTCCTTGGCTGACATTTCTCCAGAGACAAAGTGCACCTCTCAGTTCCGGGAGACAGCTTGCCCAGTAGCTTAATGACTTTATAACAATGAAAGACAGAGTCTCCTGGATTTATATGCAAGGACCTTCCTCTAGTGGTCTAAGATGGGAGTCCGGGCTTCCCTGCCAGCCGGTCTGTTCTGTTCTGCTGGCATTTTAGGCCCACTGTGCTTCTGAGGGTTGCCTGCCACATGAGCTTGGGGCTGGCTCCTAAAGATCCCTCCTCATATGTATTCTATTTTGAGCAAAATTGGTAGTGGTTTCTTTGATTTAAATAAGCCCTCTCTGAGGAGACAGCTCAGTGGATAAAGGTGCTCTCGTAAGCCGACCCTGACTTCCTGAGTTCCCACCCCAGGAAGGAAAGAAAAACTGACTCCCTAAAGCTGTCTTGTGCCCTCCACACACTTGCCTTGGTGCATGAGGGCACACACAAATAAAAACGATTACAGTAAGCCCCTCTCTGAAGCTACTTGTCATGACTTGCTCAGCTCGCGACCCCCTGCCAGCCTCCATGAGTCTGCCTCCATGAGTGTGACAGGGCAGAGGGATCTGCCCGAGTTTTGCTTTCCTCAGTCTTGTGATTCATCCTCAACAAGTATTCTCAAACTCATGGAGTCGGTTAATTTGGTTTTGTTTTGAGTTTGGGTCTTTACCTACCCTAGGCCACTGCAAACTCCCTTTTGTAAGGTGTGGGGATCATGACATGCACTCTGCCCCCAGCTTAATTAGTCTGAGGAATAGATACCAATCCTCTTGTAGTCCTGGGACCTAAATCTGGCCTCAAGTCTTAGTCACAGAGTGTCTTATATGCACCGGAGGGGCAGCTAACTGGTATTGGCTTTCCAGCTTAGTGGCTGGAAATGCTATCCAGATAACTGTTCTTTAGCCAGTTCCCAAACAGCACCAGCTCTGGTTTTTTCTCTCTCTCCATCTGAGCCAGGAGCCAGGTTTTTTGACTTGGACCCTGCCATTCATATGTTCTGGCCCAGTGCCTGAGGCCATGACCCTGCCTTCCCCGTTTGGCTGCCAGTTTCCCATTCCCTTGTCCGAGAAGCTGGGGCCAAAAATTCCTGTGAGCCATTTTTCCAGATGACAAGTCAGACCATTTCTCCTTAAGTTTTTGTTAAGAGATTTGAATGCATAGGCGGAGTGGGGTGGGGTGACAGACAGACAAGGGCCCCACAGTTCTGAATGCTCATTCTTCATTATAAAACAAACAGTGGACTGAGTTCCACCCCAGAAGCTATCATGGAGCTGACAGGAAAAGTGCCAGTGGCCAGTCCTGGAAGGGCCTTTTCTGTGGAAAAAGGAAAACGCTGAGGGCATCAGGGTGACCTTACCCACAATCCGGAGTCAAGCCTGAAGTGTGGCCCTTGGGTTTGTGCCTTGCAGCTGGGGTGGACACTTGCAGCACAGGCTCCTGATACATGATTTCTCACATGCGGCGGGGGATAAAAAAACCACCCAGAGGAGAGGATGGTGGCTAGGGCCACATTCATTGAATGATAACCGTCATTGCCACCAAATACTACCTGACTCAAACCTATACATCATTAGCTAGTGATATTCTTGTTTTGCAGATAGGATACTGGATGGGCCCAAAAGATGTCGCTCATTCACTCATTGTCCCCCTCAGCACTCCCTGAAGATTTGGCTTCAGGACTACCGGAGGGGAGAGCCATTTCTTTGTGACTGGCCGCATCTGTCCTTGACAACTCTCCCTCTCCTGCTGTCCCAGGCAGTGGGCAGCAGACAGCTTACCCTGGTTGCTGGTGAAACGTGCCCGTTGGCAAGTGGGAATTGGGATGATTCCAGCGG